CTCTCTCTCTCTCTCTCTCTCTCTCTCTCTCTCTCTCTCTCTCTCTCTCTCTCTCTCTCTCTCATGCCCACTGTCATTCTCTTTTTCTTCCTGAACCAACCTCTCTGCTCTCCTCTCCTCATTTTAAAGCAGAAATGCATCATGTGTTTTATTCAGGAATGTCTGGCAGGCTCCTTGTTGTAAGAGCATCTGCTCTGATTTGTTCTTGCTTGCAGCAGAGGGATGGAGTTGTTAATCAGTGCATTGTTAGCTTTTTATTGTCTGGTTAATTCTAAAGTAATATCTTGTCAAAAGGAGACGCTAATATATATTTACACAGGAAAGAATGCAAACAGATGTTACTTAAGAATATTGTAGGTTCCAAACGCAAATGTTTAAACGGATAGTTCCACCCAAAATTCTAATTATGTCATCATATACTCACCCTCATTGCATTCCAAACCTGTATAACTTTTTTGTTTGAAACGCAAAAGATATTTTGAAACATATTTGAACTGTTTTGGTACATAGAGTGAAAGCCAATGGAGTCTAAAACAACACTGGACCCCATTGACTAACATTGTATGGATGTACATTTTTCACTTCTATATTATTTCATGATGACGGTGAGTAAATTATGACAGAGGATGTTTCTCAATTCTAAGAACCATCTGGCCATCCCAGCACATTTTAAATAGCAGGACAGCACCACCCATTGCACAATTATATACTGTGAACATAACATCACAGATGTCATCATAATTTACTCACATTATTTTATATCTTTTTATTTTACTGCATGTATTTATAAATTGTGCTCTGTCAATGGTAAGATTCTTTAGAATATGCCACGAAAAAGTACTGCAGGCTTTTTTAAGGTCTTTATCACTTTATTAAGATTATGGCAAACAAAACGACATGCTTACTTTCACAAACAGTCATGCATTTGCGCGCATGCAGCAGGAAGTTTAACGCTAGAAGTTTTAAAGAAATGTTTCACCCCAAAATGATTTTTTTTTCATCATTTACTCACCCTCATGTCGTTCCAAACCTGTATAAATGCCTTTTTTATGATGAACACAAAAGAAGATATTTTGAAGAATGCTGGTAATCAAAGAGTTGTAGGGAAGTCATAGCAGGGAAAAAGTCAATAGGGGCTAACAACTGTTTGAACTATTCCTTTAAGCTTACATAACGCTATCTATCCACAGCGTTTACTGGGATTTTTAACGGTTTGCTTTGCTTAAGTCTGCATTTGCTGCATCCTCGATATCAAGAACACTTCTGCGTACTTTCATGAATGTCCTCTGTATTTGCATTCTTGAGTATTGGAATTGAACTTCAGTGGTTTAGGACGACGTACTGCGAAAACACAAGTATGCAAGGTTGCATAAGAACACTTACTGAGAAATGTCAAGACTGTTCATTTTTTGGTGAACTGTCTCTTTAATCTCACCTGGAAACACACATCAATCAAACTGGACAGCATGTGTTTGTTTGCCGTTCTGGAGAAGAATGGTTTATTATTAAGAATGTTAGTGTGTACATTGCCCATCTTTGCTCTGCAATGCATTGTTTGCCCTCTTCTGTTTGGTTTTTACGTCTCGTTTTCAAGCCTGTGGAATGTGACACTTCCGTTGTCTTTGGGGCTGCTCCTGCATATTTCATAGCTTAGACCATTACTGAACTATCCTAGCCTGAGGGAAAGCGCGTGTGTGAGAGATGTTTGTATTTGAGTGTGTGCCTTCAGATGTGTGTATCAGTGTCTGAGCTGCGAGTATGTGTATGCGTGTTTGCCCAGTAAACAGTTTGGCCTATGCAAATGAACTGCATTTGGCGCTGGAAGTGTGATGTTGTCATCGAGTTGGCTCAGAATGTGCGTGTTAATTTCTGCTGCTCTCTTCCTTTCCTTCTCCTGTAGCAAATGGTGATGAGCCTGCGGGTGTCAGAGCTGCAGGTTCTTCTGGGCTACGTGGGCAGAAACAAACATGGACGAAAGCACGAGCTCCTGACTAAAGCCTTACACCTCCTTAAAGCTGGCTGCAGCCCTGCCGTCCAGATGAAGATCAAGGAGCTCTACAGACGACGCTTCCCCACCAAGCTGGTGTCCCCAGCAGAACTGGCTCTGCCCGGAGTCCACCCCGCCGCTGCCTCCTTGCCCCCCGGCCTCACGCAGTTGGGATTTGATGGGCACAGAGCGCCCCCGTCCCCTCTGCTCCCCATCTCCCTCCTCGGGCCCAAACACGAGCTGGGCCTGCCCCACCTCCCCACGAACCTGCACCCCGTACACCCTGATGTCAAACTGCAGCGGCTGCCCTTCTACGACGTACTTGATGAGCTCATTAAACCCACGAGTCTTGGTGAGTTTCTGAGATTTTGAGGAGTTATAGTGAGGTGTGTATGTTAGTGCACATTTTTAGTGGTGTATTTTTTAGAACAGTGCGTATCTGTAGATCTGTGTGATGTACGGCAACCGCAGAGATGCGCGGACCCCCTTTTCCCTACATTAGCATTTTAATGGTGTTGGCTGGTTTGGCATCAGCATGTTCGTTTGCCTGAGGAGTGTTGTTCAAATAGACTGCCAATCCCCACAACCAACCACAGTCACTCTCTTTTCCTAAACTGTCTCTCACTCTCATTTGCATACAGTGTTGAAATCATGAGTACACACACTATGGCACCAGACACCATTACAACCCTCGCACAGAATTCTCTAGAGCACACATTGCAGTGGTCGAAACAGCCGGAGTCCAAAATTAACTTGTGAAAATCTATCTATCTATATACAATTGTGGTCAAAATTTTACATACACTTTGCAGTATCTGCAAAATGTTAATTATTTTACCAAAATAAGACGGATCATGCAAAATGCATGTTATTTTTTATTTAGTACTGACCTGAATAAGATATTTCAAAAAGACTAGTTTAAGTCAGGCTCACACTGTATGATTTTTTTAAAAGTCCTTTAGGATTGTATTTGTCATACTCAGACTGTACGAACATGATGATCATGTCACACTGTGGGATCTCAGTTGTCATTAATGTCAGACTGTACGACAGTCAAGACGTGTTAAAAACAGGTGTGCGCAAGAAAACTTGTCCGGAGTTTTACCTTATCAACCCATACACGTTCAGTGACTGCGAGCTGCATTGCACGCGGGGCTGTAATGTTGGCTATCATTAAATGTATATGAATGGCGGCAATACCGGCGTATTTATGCAGAATAGTGCAGGCAGCCAATCATAGCAAAGGCAACATATCAGATGAATTCCGTGAGCGGAGGACGAGAGCGTTGGAGTTTATGCGGATAGAAGAAATCTCTAGCATTAATTCTGATCATGGCTTGTCTTGAAAAACGAAGACAGTTTGATGTTCGCCGTAGGAGATGTCACACTGCAGGACTGTGTGCCAAATCTATTGACACTGCCAGAAGTTCGGCGGAGGTCAAATTTAATCGCAACAGCATTAATCGGCTGTAGGTGAACATGTCAAACTAACAATCAAAGACTACAGATTTTAGCCTAGGATTATAGGAATCTTTTAGGATTTTCAAAATTTGTCTCAGACGACCAAATCATAGCCAAAATCGCACAGTGTGAGCCGGGCTTAATAGTCCAATTTATAAGTCTATATATTTAAAATAATAGTTGAATTTATAAAAATGACCCCATTCAAAAGTTTACATACGCTTGATTCTTAATACTGTATTGTTACCTGGATGTTCCACAGCTGTTTTTTTTCCTTTGGTTTTTCCAGTTTTCTTTTGCGTATTTGAACCCTTTCAACAATGATTGTATGATTTTGAGATCCATCTTTTCACACTTTCAACTGTTCAGGACAAACAAGTGTTAAACAACTATCACAAAAAAACAACAAAAAAAACATGCTGTGGATCATCCAGGTAACAACACAGTATTAAGAATCAACCATATGCAAACTTCTGAATGGGTCATTTTTATAAATTCAACTATTATTTTCTCTTGTGGAATAAATGTATTTTATGTTAAAAAAGGTTAGTACTAAATAAAAGGTCAGTACTAAATAAAAAATAACATGCAACTCTTACAGACCTGATCACTTTTTTTTTTTTTACATAAAATATGCTAAAATGTAGTTTTTCTGGCAGCATCATGTACAGATTGCTGAGACCCACCATGACATTGTTTTGTATATTTTTTCTTTGGTAGCTTTGTTTAAAGAATGTCTTGCCACTGTTCTGGAAAAATGGTGTAAAAGAATAAAAACTTCTAGTTTTAGAGCTAATTGTAATGGTAAATCTTCCACTAAGGTGAAAGTTGTTAGAAGACATGTAACAGTCATTAAGCTTTTATTTAGCTGAATCACTAATGTTGCTTACTTTAGCGATTTTCAACTGTTCCTTTGTTCCTCAGGAATGAGTTCTGGACAACAGTATACTTACACATGGATGAGACTGTGCTAGAGCACTCACTGCTAAATGCAAATGACTTCTAGAACTAGGTTATAGTAACAAAACATGTACAGTGGGGCAAAAAAGTATTTAGTCAGCCACCAATTGTGCAAGTTCTCCCACTTAAAAAGATGAGAGAGGCCTGTAATTTTCATCATAGGTATACCTCAACTATGAGAGACAAAAGGAGAAAAACAATCCAGAAAATCACATTGTAGGATTTTTAAAGAATGAATTGGTAAATTCCTCGGTAAAATAAGTATTTGGTCACCTACAAACAAGCAAGATTTCTGGCTCTCACAGACCTGTAACTTCTTCTTTAAGAGGCTCCTCTGTCCTCCACTCGTTACCTGTATTAATGGCATCTGTTTGAACTCGTTATCAGTATAAAAGACACCTGTCCACAACCTCAAACAATCACACTCCAAACTCCACCATGGCCAAGACCAAAATTGTAGACCTCCACCAGGCTGGGAAGACTGAATCTGCAATAGGTAAGCAGCTTAGTGTGAAGAAATCAACTGTGGGAGCAATTATTAGAAAATGGAAGACATACAAGACCACTGATAATCCCCCTCGATCTGGGGCTCCACGCAAGATCTCACCCCGTGGGGTCAAAATGATCACAAGAACTGTGAGCAAAAATCCCACAACCACACGGGGGGACCTAGTGAATGACCTGCAGAGAGCTGGTACTCAGACTGTACGAACATGATGATCATGTCACACTGTGGGATCTCAGTTGTCATTAATGTCAGACTGTACGACAGTCAAGACGTGTTAAAAACAGGTGTGCGCAAGAAAACTTGTCCGGAGTTTTACCTTATCCAACCCTACACGTTCAGTGACTGCGAGCTGCATTGCACGCGGGGCTGTAATGTTGGCTATCATTAAATGTATATGAATGGCGGCAATACCGGCGTATTTATGCAGAATAGTGCAGGCAGCCAATCATAGCAAAGGCAACATATCAGATGAATTCCGTGAGCGGAGGACGAGAGCGTTGGAGTTTATGCGGATAGAAGAAATCTCTAGCATTAATTCTGATCATGGCTTGTCTTGAAAAACGAAGACAGTTTGATGTTCGCCGTAGGAGATGTCACACTGCAGGACTGTGTGCCAAATCTATTGACACTGCCAGAAGTTCGGCGGAGGTCAAATTTAATCGCAACAGCATTAATCGGCTGTAGGTGAACATGTCAAACTAACAATCAAAGACTACAGATTTTAGCCTAGGATTATAGGAATCTTTTAGGATTTTCAAAATTTGTCTCAGACGACCAAATCATAGCCAAAATCGCACAGTGTGAGCCGGGCTTAATAGTCCAATTTATAAGTCTATATATTTAAAATAATAGTTGAATTTATAAAAATGACCCCATTCAAAAGTTTACATACGCTTGATTCTTAATACTGTATTGTTACCTGGATGTTCCACAGCTGTTTTTTTTCCTTTGGTTTTTCCAGTTTTCTTTTGCGTATTTGAACCCTTTCAACAATGATTGTATGATTTTGAGATCCATCTTTTCACACTTTCAACTGTTCAGGACAAACAAGTGTTAAACAACTATCACAAAAAAACAACAAAAAAAACATGCTGTGGATCATCCAGGTAACAACACAGTATTAAGAATCAACCATATGCAAACTTCTGAATGGGTCATTTTTATAAATTCAACTATTATTTTCTCTTGTGGAATAAATGTATTTTATGTTAAAAAAGGTTAGTACTAAATAAAAGGTCAGTACTAAATAAAAAATAACATGCAACTCTTACAGACCTGATCACTTTTTTTTTTTTTACATAAAATATGCTAAAATGTAGTTTTTCTGGCAGCATCATGTACAGATTGCTGAGACCCACCATGACATTGTTTTGTATATTTTTTCTTTGGTAGCTTTGTTTAAAGAATGTCTTGCCACTGTTCTGGAAAAATGGTGTAAAAGAATAAAAACTTCTAGTTTTAGAGCTAATTGTAATGGTAAATCTTCCACTAAGGTGAAAGTTGTTAGAAGACATGTAACAGTCATTAAGCTTTTATTTAGCTGAATCACTAATGTTGCTTACTTTAGCGATTTTCAACTGTTCCTTTGTTCCTCAGGAATGAGTTCTGGACAACAGTATACTTACACATGGATGAGACTGTGCTAGAGCACTCACTGCTAAATGCAAATGACTTCTAGAACTAGGTTATAGTAACAAAACATGTACAGTGGGGCAAAAAAGTATTTAGTCAGCCACCAATTGTGCAAGTTCTCCCACTTAAAAAGATGAGAGAGGCCTGTAATTTTCATCATAGGTATACCTCAACTATGAGAGACAAAAGGAGAAAAACAATCCAGAAAATCACATTGTAGGATTTTTAAAGAATGAATTGGTAAATTCCTCGGTAAAATAAGTATTTGGTCACCTACAAACAAGCAAGATTTCTGGCTCTCACAGACCTGTAACTTCTTCTTTAAGAGGCTCTGCACAATTCTTTTTCAGCAAACAAACACTCATCTACTTCACTCATAAATGCACAAACCTATGAAGCTTCCACCCCAAAAATGCATACACCCCACAGCTCATGTATAAAATATCAGCCTGCTGATAGATAGACTATTCAGGGTGTACTGTGCTAAAACATCTAAAGTTAGAGCAAAATGTCTGCTCTGGAGATTTCTTTAAGATGGGAGAACATATGAAGTGTGTTTTTGGCTGTGTGTATTTCAACTTGAGCAAAGCAACTATACTCAAGGTGTTACAATTTTTCAATTTAATGCTGCAGGTAATAATTCAATTTGTTTACACACAATATGATGTTACTGTTAATATAGTCTCTTCACTTGCTTTCTCTCTCTTTGTTTTAAAGGCTATAATGATTTTGGCATTTAATTTTGTATTAGAGTAATCCTTTTAAATGTCTTGAGTTCAGAGTCATGTTCT